TTGTTTTTATTTTCTATACCTGTTTTCACCTTATATTTTGAAACTTTAACAGATTACTCTTCATTTTGGTATTTTAGGGGTCAGGCTCTGGAAAAGAATTTTACATTTACAGTGAAATTCACACTCCTTGAGGGTTAGCAAACATTTTTCTATCAGTAATATTGTTATTAAAGTTTAGAAATGATACGATTTTCCAGTTTATGTATATAACTTCAGTGTAACTTGCTATTTCTTGTAAAATCTGCTACTATAATAGTGTAAGAAAATCAGACTACAAATAGATGCTTGATACTATCTGATTTGGCACAGTAGTCACTTATGTCATTGTAAACAAGTGTAGTTTCACTGGAAATGTTGACTGATATTTTTGTTTTATTAAGTTTTTTTTTTTGTTTTTTGTTTTTTGTTTTTTTTAAGCGAGAGAGAGCAAGTGTGAGTGGGGGAGCCAGGAGAAGGGGAAGGAGCAGAGTGATAGAGAGAGCATGTAGCCTGACTCAGGGCTTGATCTCACGACCCTGAGATCATGACCTGAGCTGAAATCAAGAGTCAGATGCTTCACCTACTTAGCCACCCAGGTGCCCCTATTTTTGTTTATATTAATAAGAAGGTGAAACAACAAAGATGGATATTGGAAATTCACTCACTTGTCCATATGATCAAATTCTTTGCTAAATTGGATAATAGTTTTCAAATACTAGAGGAACAATTTTGCAGTTGTAATAGGTACAGGTACAACTACACAACTTTTTCCCCATCACTTTTTCAAGTCTAGACAACCATCAGAATAATATACCAACACTTGGTTCACATTATTTGCCAATTTCCTCGGTGTAAATACTCCCATCATGGTTGATTTCAAGATATTGACATGTCACAAGGAAGTGACATCTAATCTGACTTTTTAAGTATAAGCTTGGGTTAACTTGATGGACAGAGGAGGGGGTGCGTTCCAGGCAGAGAGAAAGGCATGAGAAAATGTATGGGGCACAGATAGAGCGTGAAAGACTGTGTCCAGCACCTGGAAGGCCTTGTCTACCCACCAGAATTGATAGTAATTGAAAGCTAATATTCACTGAAAGAGTACACTGTACCAGTCACTGTGCTAAGGATGATTTCATTTGATCCTCATTAGAACCCTGAGATAGACATTTTTGTTAGTCCTTTTTGCACACAAGGAAATTGTTGTGATTTAGAGCAGATGAATAACTTACCCGTAATCACTTAGGTAGTAAATGGCAGAGCTGAGATTTGAATGTAGATTAGTCTGACTCTAGAACCCTGAAGTTCCCTACAACCTCTGAAAGACCTCTCCTTATAGAAGTCCAGGCAGAAAGTGTTGGGGCCTGAACCAAGGCAGGCTGTGATGAGGGCATAGGGAGGACGGAAGCAATAAAGAGGAAATAGCCTCAGACAAAATCCATAACCAACTGGCTGTGGGAAGTAAGAGAGAGGAGGAGGGAGGATGACAGCAGAATTTTTAACTTGAACAGCTAGGTGAGCACTGTTGCATTAACCAAGGTAAGGAGTAGGGAAGAGGAGGTAAGTAGAGGAAGTGGGTAGGGAGTGTTGAAGTGGTTTTGGATATGCTGAGTGGAAGGCATCCAGGTGGAGAGTGTCTAGGAGACATTTTAAATATGGCCTGGACATTAGGAGGAAAACCTGGCCTGTTGGTCTGGATGTGGGTGTCATAAATAGTGGGTGGTGGTCTCACCTGTGAGCATGTGAAATCCTTCAGGAGAAGTGACAGCATTTCCCTTTGGTAAACAAACACTAAGAACCAACATGGAAGGATGGAAGGATATCCCTCACATCTTGGTATGTTACTACTTGGTTGAGCATTCCTGGAAGACTGATTTTAATTACTACAAATTCTATTAAACAATAAGAAAGCAATCTTTCTGGGAGCTGCTGCAGTACTTTATTTTAGAGATAAGCCATCTGTTACCTTTCACTTGAATGTAGAGCCTGCTCCACAGACCCACACTGAGGGCTGCCTTGCCCAGACCAAACTCAGAGGCTGTTTTTCTGAAGGCTCTCGTTTCACTCGGTCTGGGGAAGAAGAGGCAATGGGGGACTTGTGATCCTGCTAGGCAAAAAGGGAAGATACTACAAATCCATGAAAGCTCTCTGATGGCCACAAATCACAGAGAAGAACCAAACAAGACCCACCATCCCCACCCCCACCATGGTGACCATAAGGTGCAGATTTGTGGGATACTCCAAAAATTCTGATGCATTAAGTCTGGAACAGGGCTGAAGAATCCACATTTTACTGACTACCTGTATCAGTTAGTGTTCTCCAGAGAAATATGTATATATAAAAATATTTGTTGTAAGGAATTGGATTATAGAGGCTGAGAAATCCCCCAATCTTCTGTCCACAAGCTGGAGGCCCAAGATAGCTGGTGGGATGATGCATTCTAAGTTCAAAGACCTGAGAACCAGGGGAGTTGATGGTGTATGTCTCAGTTCAAGAGCAGAAGACTGATGTCTCAGCTCATGCAGTCTCTTAGAGTAGGTACAAATTCTCCCTTCCTCTGCTTTCTGTTTTTATACAGACCTTCAAATGTTTGGATCATGCCCACCCACACTGGGGATGGCCATCTGCTTTACTCAGTCTATGGAGTCAAGTTCTAATTTCATCCAGAAACACCTCACACCTACACTGAGAATAACGTTTTACCAAATGTCTGGACACCCTGTGTCCTAGTCAGGTTAACACACTTAACTCACCATCATACTACGCCGGGTGAGTCTGAGGCTGGGCAGTCCTGAGAGGACCATGCTGGGAGAAGAGGAGAGAGAGAGAAACTAGAAAGGATATTGAAGAAGGGCAAGCAGAGAACCTGAGCAGGGTTGCGTCCTTATAACCTCGGGAGGGTGTCAGGAATGGAGAGGGGTCAACTGTATCAAGAGAACTCAGGCCAGGCAGGACTAGAGAGGGTCCGTGGACTCTTGCCACAGAAGGTCACTGAAGGGCTTGAGTCAGAGCAGCCTTCATGAGGTGGTGGACAGAGACTGACTGGACTGGACTGGAGCCTGAACTGGGTGAATAGTTGGCCAGGAGGAACAGATAGTTTCAGGACACTAGCCATGAAGAAGAACACAGGGCCATGGCTTGTTCTGTCACGAAATGCTGAGGAAACTGAGGAGTTTCCACTGCTTTAATTCTAGCATGGCTCCCCGGCTGGGGTGGGTATAGGGTGGGCATAGGTGTCTCTGTGCCTCTCTCTTTCCTTTCTCTGTCACGGCAGGTCTGGGGGATTCAGTTTCCCTCCCCCACCTCTGGGAGTGGTCGTCTTCTCCAAGCCTGCTTGCAGAGCCAGTAGGGGCATTCTGGCACTCTTTCCTTTCTTCTGACCCCAAAGCATATAGACAGGGCTCCTCTGATGGAAAACTGCTTTGGTAATCCCTGCAATAGGAGACAGGGTTAACTTCTCTTTGGGTTAACAAATGGAGAGGTGACAGATTGACAGGCCCTAAGGACAGATTTTTTTAAGTAAAATATTGTATAATACAGAAAAGTGCTGAAAATATATACCACACCATTGGCTCCATTATCAGCTCAATCAGATTCTAATAGGTTTCCTATATTTGATTTGTATTTATTTTTAAGAAATGAAAAATGATAATAGGTGTTTAAGTGCTAGTGTATCTTCTCTCCAAAGCCTTGTGGGGGCACGAGGGTGTGTACCTGTGTGGCCCCGTGCGCAGGCATGTGCTCATGCACTGTCTCTCTCTCTCTCTCTCACTCCCCTCTAGGCAGTGAGTGCTAGGATCCAACCTTCTCTTTCTCTAGCCTGGTCAAGTCTTCCTTCTGTTTAGAGTACCAAGACCATTGAAGGTGGGGCTCTTTTGAAGAACCAAACAGATAAAAAGGAATCTCAGCCACTGGCTTTATGCTTAAACTTGGGTACTGCCTTTGCACTGTTTGTCTGCTGTTCCTTAGTAAAACAGAAGAAAGTAACCTTACCCAAGTACATGTTTTCAAACCTCGGCCACCTTCCACATTGTCCTTTCCCTCTGCAACAGGTTGCCATGCTCAGCTTTGTGGGGAATCCGTGGTGTGCACCTGTGCCTCGATATATAAATCCATCCTCTCTGGTGTACGTGTTGGTTTTTTCTATTCACTGTACTAAACAAAGCTACAGTTAACATCGTTTACCAGCACTGGACATTGTTTTTAATTTCAGGTGACCTGACTTGACGGAAATGGTGGCTCCCAAGGGTTTTAATTTGCATTTCCCCACTCCTGGTGAGGTTGAGGATCATTTCATGGGCTATTGATCATATTACTTTCTTCTGTGAACTGCCCGTATGCCCTTGGTATGGATAGTTTCTTCATGTAAGAGAGTGTCCGTCCATCATGTTTCTATCCCAGAGGAAGGCACTATAGAGAGGGAGAGATGATAGAGACTGGCTAAGGGTAAAACATTGGTCCTGAGGAGGCAGAAGCAGATGGGACCCAGAACCTGAGAGGAAGATTAGACTTGGATTGGAGAGAGGAACATTCCTCTGCCCTGGTGGAAGCCCTGATGGGAAATTGAGGACATTCAGCCTGGGCCTCCATTATCTCCACTTGCGTGGTTGTGGCTGGATGTGAGGCAGGCTGTGGGACTAGAGAAAGACCCTCTGGGGAGCACAGTGAGAAAAACTAACCAGACTGTATAAGAGAAGGACCAGGTAGGCTTTGAAAGGCCTGTTGACAGTTTGGTTTGGAGCAACATTAAAACCAGTGTGTACTCCTGAGGTACCTTCAATAAAGGTGTGAGGGGGTTTGTCCAGTGAGTTCCCCAGCCACCTCTTCCTTTCACTGGAAATAATTTTCAGGTGTTCTAATAGACTGGGGCTAATCTTGATTTCAGTCATGGTAATTCCACTGAATAGTTCCTCTTAGAAACATTTATAGATGAAGCCAACTTGTGTTTTAAAAGTGAGCATGTGTTCATATAAAACTATTTATATTTGTTTCCTGAATGGCTACCAGAACAAATTACCACAAAATGGGTGGCTTAAAACAACAGGAATTTATTCTCTCATAGTTCTGGATGCCAGGAGTGAAAATTCTAGGGGTTCTGTGGCTGGGCTCCTTTTGGGGGCAACAGGAAAGAATCTTTTCTTGGTCTCTTCCAGTTTCTGGTGGTTGTTGGCCTTCCTTGCCTTGTGGCCACATTTCAGTCCAGTCTCTGCCTCTGTCTTCACATAGGCTTCTCCACTATGTGCCTATGTCTCTCCTCTGTGTGTCTTCTAAAAGACATTTGTGTTATTAGATTTAGGACCCACTCCGGTAATCCAGAATGATCTCATCTCAAGATCCTTAAATTAATCTCATCTGTAAAGACTCTTTTTTTGTTCTGTTTTGTTTTTTAAAAAATAAGTTCACATTCACAGGTTCTGGGGATAAGGATGAGGATATATCTTTTTGTGGGCGACCATTCAACCCAGTATACTACTTGCTTAGGCAAACCTTCTAGAAAGCAGATGTAACCTGAAGCATCTAAGATATGTGACTCAGGGTCCCCTGCAAAGTAAGAGCTGTTGGGGTCCTAGAGATGACCCCATACCGTCCCACTGTACAGAGGAAATGTTGAGGGCACAAGAGGGGAAGTGATACACCAAGAGAGGCTGGTGATATTTCCTCTTTTCAGAAATAAATCTTATACCTGGAAACAACATTCACTTGCTCTGTCTGCAAATGGAAAACGTTGTTTGAACATCTTTTCCTCAATCCAGAAGTCAAGGCCATGAGCAGACTCTGGCACATATTCAGGGCCGAGTATAGGGAATAGTAACATATTGATTTTGGCTGAAGCTCTTAATGCTTCTTGGCCCGTGTAAATGATTGTCCTTCCCTTAAATTGATGCCTGGAATCTATTTGATTTTTCTTGAAGAGCACAACTGATTTTAAATGTCATGTGTTACAAACCCCTATAGCTAAACTGCAGTGTATGTCAGAACAAAGGCTTATTTGTCATCGTGAGATTTTTATAGAGGGAGGTAGGGAGGTTGTGTGACAATCTGGGGGAAGGACCTGTGTTCTAAATCATCTCTGATCTTTTAATTACTAAGCTGTGTGCCCTGGGCTAATTAATTAACCTCTCTGAACCTCTAATTCTCCACCTATAAAAGGGTTCCAGTGACCCTAGCTCTCAGAGTTGGCTCCAGGATTGGTGAGACAGTGGTTGTGAAAGCACCTGGCATGTAGCCATGACTCAACAAATCACCTTGAATTTTGCTTTTTAAAGGAATAATGGTTAAAATCTAGAAAGGAAGGTAAGATGGGGAAACTGAGGCTTATGGCAGTGAAGTGATTTGCCCAAGGTCACAGAGCTACTCTGTTAGAGCTGGGACTTGAGCTGAGGCTAATATACTCCTGAGTGTTGCTCTGTGCTGCCTCTCCAACATTTCAGACGGTACATGCTAAAGGAGGTGAAAAGATGCTCAGGGTCGATTTGAGGGTTCAAAACGAGAGGATAGCTCTGGTCGAAGCCATCCGGGAAGGCTTCGGGATGCTGGTGGCATTTAAAGAGCAGGGCTGGATTTGAACAGACATGGGTGTGCAGCATGAGCCTTTTACATCTCTGCACATGGACAGGGTGGCTTGTTCTCTCACCAGTGCATCTGTTCACGCTAACTTATTTTACCCTGACTTTCCAGAGCTTCAGGAAGCATGCTTACCTCTCTCCAACAGGGGTGGAGATGCCTTAGACTGACCAGAATTCAGAGGCCAAGGAAATGGTGCTGTCCCTCAAATCTTCCTTACCAAGTAGGGTGACCATAGTTATTGTCCAAATCAAGACTGTGGAGTTATTACTCCAGGACAAGAGGTGTCATTGGAGACTGTCCCAGCAACTAGGCCATAGAGTCATGCTGTCCCTGAGCATCCAGGTGCCTGGGCCTATAGAACATACTGAACCATAGTCTAACACAACCCCTCATGACAGTGTGCTTAGTTTCAGGGTGGCAGGGCTCACTGGGGAAGGTGTCCAAACCAGACTGGATGTGGCTGACAAAAGGGTCTTAAAAGGCCTTTGCTGGGGGGAAGCCAGGGAGGAGTGAATGAGCCTCACCATCCTTGTCACACTGTAACCACACCCTGCAGCCCCTCTGTGCTTTGGGAATTGAGAGGAAGCCCAAGTATAAGATCTCAAGCCAAAACTTTCCACCAACAAGGGACTTTCTCACTTGTGAAAGGAAGACACCACTGGGGTGGTTATTTGAGTAATAGAGGCAAAAAACCCCAATGTCTTCTTCAGTCAATAGAATAACAGGTAAAAATAGCCTTGTGGGTTGCTTTACTTCTTTTCACTCAACGGGCCTTTGAGAGGTTTGTGGTGTGTCCCACGTAGTGATGTGCCCCAAGAACTCTCAGTTCTCTTTTTCAGTGTCTCTGAAGAGGAGAAGTGGCACTGCTCCTGTGTCCCAGAAGCCATAGCTGTGCCTATGCCCCTCTCTTCTTGTTCCCACTCAGCAGCTAACACCCCTCCAGGAGGCCCTGCCTGCAGAAGGGGATCACAGGCAACCTGGTTATTAAGTACTTGTATGTCCCTGAGGGGAGAAGAAGACCAAAGCAGGGCCCTGAGGATAGGATGAGGACAAGTTAGTTTTGCTGGAACAGAAAAAGGGTGGGTGATACTGGGGTGGAGAGGAGGAGGGTGGAGATGACAAACTTCCTTCCTCACACTGGGGCCCCAGGCCAGGCTGCGGTGGGCTCAGTCACAGCATTAGTGAAGGACAGGAGGAGAACGGATTCCTGAATTTTCCAGGGTTTTTGTGGTGGAGGAGGAGCAGGGCTGGTGGACACCAGTGTAAGGACAGAGGCCTTCCTGCAAGTCCTCACCCATAGCTCCGTTCCACGTCACTGAGCCCTTTCTGAGACCACACTGCGGTGTGACTAACACACAACAAATGCTTGAGCTTCTCTCCGGAGCAGAATTTATCCACTTACCCTCGGCATCCCATGAATTTGCTTTGTCTCCTAGGGAATAATTAACTAGTGTTAGTATGATATTAGAAAATTGCTAATTATGGCAATGAGCTAGCACAGCGATCTGAGAACTTGTGGAGCTATAGTTAGTGATGACAGAAAGGAAAATATTTGACTGTTTTGTGCTGCACCCAGGTTCTCAGGAGGAGGTGAAAGACAAGGCTTGGCACAGTGCCACGCATGGCACCCTGATCCCCTCCATTTCCTGTGAGTGTGAGTTTGGAGCAGAGATAGTTAGCTGGCAGTACAAGATTGTGTGAAGAATGAGGATGGTTGGGGGCTTCTGTCGCTGGGACTTGTCCGCACCCCACATGCTCAGTGTTTCACGTGCACTCACACACACACTCACATTCATTTACACTCACACACAATCTCAAGTTTATATACCATAGTCACACATACTTGCACACTTACTCTCAGCCATACACATTCACCTGTACTTACACTCACAGTTCACACACAATCACACATATTTCTCATGCTCACAGGTACTCATGTATTCTCTCTCTTTCTCACATACATTCACTTCAAATCAGATTAGAGTTCTCTTCCTGGTCCTGGAAAGGAAACGGTCACCTCAGTGTCTTGGGATCACCCACGACTTGGCATTAGATCCTGAGCTGACCTTGGTGCCTTGAGAGTAATTTCTCCATCTTTCATATTCTTTGGGTGTTGAGAGAAGAACTGAGTTCTTGGGGCGTTGTGGGGAGGAAAGGGGGTGGAGCAGAGAGAATTCTAGCCACAGCACCAGATGTAAATTCTGCTAAGATACTTAAACTCCAGGAAACATTGGTATAAATAGTATTTACAAATTGCTGCACAAACAGCAACAATAAACCCTTCAAATGAATTCGTGGGTATCTTATGTGGTAAATACTTTTGATATGTGGTAAGTGTTGCATGCTGTGGAGCCTCATGGACCTATGGGGAACCAACTGCCATGCTGTAGTCAACACTCAAAGTGCTTATTATGTGTAGTAAGGGTTGAGAACCATTGTGAGTTTAGCCTGTAGCTCCCTGACTTTATTGCACATTAGAATGACAAATCCTGATGTCCAACCAAGCACCTGGATGTGGGTTTCTAATATCCTCCAATAAACGAACCATGGCTCGTTGAATAAATCATTGATTATGGGGTTGGGGCAGGAAAGATTCAAGGTAAGCCTGGAGCATCTTGTAGTACCAAAAAATAAGGAAGTATTCACTACAATGATGGGGATATGTCAAAGGGGCACAGGAACCAACTGATAGAGCTCCCAGTGGCCAGAGCTGGAACAATTTGGGCAATGAGATATTGGACCATAAGCAGTGTGTAAAATAAATATCCGTAAGTCCACACCGATACAAATAAATAATTGAATAAATCAGAGTAGACAAATCTCTCCTACAGAAGAATTCCAAATAATTTTTGTAGGTCCTCCTCCTACAAAGGGGTAGGAGTTGTGTTCCACCTCCTAAGTGTGGGCTATGCATAATGACTTCCAAAGAGTCTAATATGAAAACAGGGGAAAAGAGTAACTTTACTTTGGAGAAACCTGACAAACTGAACCTCAGGCAGGTGCTCAGAATCAACATAAACAGTGATAAGTCATGTGTCTTTGGTTGGTGGGGTTTTCCTCCCCAAAACCCATTAACACAGTCTAGCCATGAGAAAAACATCAAACAGACCCATGTTGATGAATAGTCTATGAGACACCAGACTAGTGCTCCTCGAAACTGTCAATGTGATCCAAAACAAGGGAATTCTGAGACTCTGTCACAGTCTAGAGAAGCCTAAGGAGACATGATGACTAAATGTAATGTGGCATCCTAGGCGGTACCCTGGGATAGCAAAAGGACACTAGGCTAAAAACTAAGGGCCTCTGTATAATGAACGAACCTTTGTTAGTAATAATGTGTCAAAATTGGTTCAACAGTAGTGACATAGTAATGTGAGAGGTCAATAGTAGGTGAGTAGGGAAAACATGGTGAGGAGCATATGGGAACTCTCTGTACTATTTTCTCAACTTTCCTGTAAATGTTAAAGTATTCTAAATAAAAAAATTCAGTTTTAAAAAATCCTGATTCCCAGCATACTAATACCAATGAACCTAGAGTTTCTGGTGTAGGAGTGGGCAGCAGGACTTTTTAAAGCCCCTGAATGCTTTTGATTTGCAGCCAAAGTGAGAACCTTCAAGCCTGTTTGTGTTATAGCAACAAAGAACTGTAAAGTGTCACATACTTAAAACACAGATTTTTAGATTTTTATGCCCCTCCAGATACACAGGTATTATGGGAGGCAAGGGCGTGCTGTTCATCATAAATGACTCAGAGACCCGGCCTGGTTGGGGGAGCTGTCTCCAGTGTTGAAGGAGATCTCCTAGGGTCTTAGACCAGTAATTCCAGACTCTGGCGGAGGGGATGCCTGCCACTGGCTCTCACGACTCATTAGCCAGACTAGTCACATGACCCCATCCAACCACAAGGGGGACAGGAAATACAATCCTACCATGTCCTCAGAAGGTGGTGGAGAGCAAAAATATTTGGCAGATGCTGCAGTGGCTACCACAAACGTGCAGCCAGAGCTTAGCAGGAGGGATCTTAACAGCGAAGTCGTTCTTCCTGACCTGTGGTATTGACTGAGGACCTGGATCTGCCTCATGCTCAAGCCCTACCTCATACCTTGTTGGTGGAAGATGGCTGCCTATCTTGTATCCTGTGCCCCTGTCTCTGTCTCAGTGCCCTATTTAGAGCTCCACCTGGCCCAGCAACTGGGGGATGAGGTCACACCATCTGCTGACCCTAAGGCCACCAGAGATGCAATTTCTGATGAGGGTTTGCTCTGAACTCCCTGTTCTTGGGCTCTGCCCAGCTGTCAGCACACCTGTGACTGCACAGAGCCTGCTGACCTGACAGCTGGGCTGAATGATTGGCCACCTCTTGTCAGTGCCCACACAGCAACTGCCACATGCTGCTGGGGAGACCAGATTCTTTCTAGGCACAGGTCCACCCCTAGGATCTGCCCCATCTTAAAGTTCTGAGTCCTTCCATGTTCTGGGGATTCAAACTACATGCCTGGCGGGCTCCTGAAACATGAAGTCCTTTCTTTTAGAGAGCTCAGGGAAGGGCACGATCAAACTGATGACAAGCAAGGTCACATGAAGAGGTTGCTGCATAAAGACACACCTACATTAGTTTCAACCTTCCTACAAATCTTTCCGTGTTCCCTCCCTTGATCAACTGAAAATCCAACATCAGTTTAGTTCAGTTCTGAAGTTGAACATGATGCCAGACGTATGAGTGCCTGGGACCAATAGTGAATAAAAGACATGGCTTGTATCCTTGAGGAATTTAGTCTGTGGGGAAGATAAATATTAAACAAATATGAAAATATGAAAAGTGGGGGCATCTGGGTGGCTCAGTGGGTTAAAGCCTCTGTCTTCAGCTCAGGTCATGATCCCAGGGTCCTGGGATCAAGCCCTGCATCGGGCTCTCTGCTCAGCGAGGAGCCTGCTTCCCTTCCTCTCTCTCTGCCTGCCTCTCTGTCTGCCTCTCTGCCTACTTGGGATCTCTGTCAAATAAATAAATAAAATCTTAAAAAAAAAAAAGAAAATATGAAAAGTGTGTGTGTGTGAGAGAGAGTATGAGAGCACTATACAAGCATGTACAAAAAATATGATTACTGTAGCCTAGGGGGCGATTACCCTTGCTTCCCTAAGAAAATGGCATTAATATGAAACTGAAAGCGTCCAGTAGTGCTTGGCCAGACAAACAGGGTGTGTGGTTTAAAGATGGTCACAAATTCTTTGCTCCTCCTCCCACTGAAATATGGAGTCTAATTCTTCTCTCCTTGAATCTGGGCTGACTGATAGAATGTAGCAGAAGTGATGTTCTGGATTAAGTCTCCATAAGTCTCCACCTTCTTCCCAGATCTTTTAGAACACTTTTCCGGGGGAAGGCAGATGCCATGTAAGGAACACAATTCCTCTGAGACCACCCTGCTGTGAGGAAGCCCAGCTAGCCTCAGAGAAGAGCAGCATGGAAAGAGATATTCAATCAGCCCCTGGCTTTTCTACCCATCCCAGCAGCCCTAGACATGGGAGTAAAGAAGCCTTTTGAGCATTCCAGCCCCAGCCTTTATCTGACTATAACGGAGTAAGAACTGCCCACATGAGCCCAGTCAGCTCACAGAATCATGAAAAATAGTAACAAGCTATTGACTTAACCCATTGTGTTTTGGGGTGATTTGTTTTGCAGCTATAGATAGCTGGATATTAGGGGTGGTAGAGCATTCCAGGTAGAGGAATAACATGGGCAAAGGACATTCTGTGCCCTTAGACTTTCTGTAGAGAATAAGGCATCTGAAAACATATTAGAACCAGCTCTACAGGACCAATTGCAGTTTGCAGTATGTCCCCAGGCATACGCTGTCCTACAGAGGGATTTTTAATCCATCCATGGATGGATTGGGGAGAGGAATGATTCACACATCCCTTGAGACTAGGGCTAAATTAACTTGGGTATGGGGGCACTTAATTTCTTCTGGGCAGAGGGTCCCCCAGATTTAAAAGGAGTCTGGGAACTCTAAGGAACAGGGGTGGTGTTTTAGATTTCTAAACCAGTGTTTTCTAAGCCAGCCACAATTACAGCGGGAACTAATAAGACAAACTCCTAGCTGGACACAAAATAGGTTCTTTAAAAGAACAATCAAGAGAAGCAATAGCGTTTAGGCCAGGAAGTATGTGTTTTACACTTATTCTATGTTGATTTAGTTTATAAAAATAAACAGTCCCTCTTTGAGTTCTAAAAGTCTGTAGGATTAAAATACATTTGGTAAGACTAAATGTGAAGAAAAGAACAAAAACAATATTCGAGAGGAAGCTGTCAGAACTCGGCTCTGCTGGCTTTTCCTTGTGTCCAGCTTGCACTTGGGGCCTTGGGAGCAAGGGACCTTGGCGATGCTTGAGTCTGTCCTGGGCTGGGGGCTGAGGGCTGAGGGCATGAGGCTGAGCCTCCTAGGCCTCACTAAAGCAAACAAATGAAGGTGGGAAAAGTGGACGTGATCTGGCTACGGTGCTTGTTTTGGCCTGAGTCCCTCAGAATATTTAGCCACTTCTGCCTCTAGGTGGCACTCTGTAGCCACCTACTGCTTCTATAGGAGCGACAGCCTGGTGACCCCCCCCCCTCAGGCCTCAGACAGTATCTCCCAGAGAACCTGGGGGCTAAGCCAGTCCTGTGGCAATTAAGAAACTCCATGCAGTGCTTTCCAGAAGTGAGGGGGAGAGGAAGGTAAAAAGGCATCCTGCTTTCTCCAGGCGGGATCCCCGACTGAAGCTTTGTCTTGGGGTTTTCTCTTCCTGAAGTAAAATAATTCACATCTTAGACTCTTTCTAGCCAGCAGAACTAGAACATTCATAAAAGGGCCAAGCCTGTCTGGTATTTGCTTTCCTTTTCCCACCCTGTCACATTTTCTAACTCCTGGGCAAAAGGCTCTTTCCAGAGCCAGGAGGGATTGCCAGCTTCCTCCCTTTTTTATTCCCTTCTATCAGCACCTCCCATCCTTCCCAGAGGTCACATTCACCTGCTTCCCAGAGTTCTGAACACCCAACCACACAGCCAGGATGGCTGCCTCCACCTTCTTGTAGCTCACACTGCTTCAGACAGGAAGTAGTTAGTGAAACCACAGTGCTGCCTGAAGGAAGGGTGTTTTGAGTTCAGGAAGAGAGAGGACACTTTTTCTGTTCCATGAACCCCTTTTCAGCTCAGATTCAGTCAGGAGGCACTCCTCTGCAGAGGCAAAGGATGGATCTCCCCTCTGGTCTCAGTAGCAGGTCAGCACCTAGAGCAGGGACCAGAGATCATCAGACCCAGGGCAAGCCTGGAACTATACAGGCTGCTGGGGGTGCCAACAGGGGAGCTCCAAACTTACTTTGCAGAGAGTACTGGAGGGAACCAAGCCTTTTCTGCAGTCCTGCCAATAAAACCACTGGGGCTCAGCTTTGAACTTGATCCTATAAATGACATCCTAGCACTTGTAGGACAAGCAAAGTCCAGAGGAGAGAAAATGCAGGACTGCCCAATGAAAAAAAGCCAAGAAATCTGGACCAGCCCAGAGCAAATACAGTATTTTCTCCACACAAGGTTAAAGAGGTTCTCATGTGTGAGGAACTGAAAATTAATATTAGAATCTTTTTTATATTACCTAGAGATAGTTTTATGTAATTATACATAAGTAATAAACTATCTTTTGCCCTCAATCTAGAGCAAGGGGCAACTGTTCTTTTAGAGTCCTTATGGAACCCATGTTCATTGAAGCTCTTCTGGGATTTGTCACAAATATATTTTTTGGTTCGGGTATCCAGAAGAGCAAAATGAGCCAACAGTCATGCTTATAGAATGTCACTTTAAGAAGCCACATTCTTATCTGATTCTCCAGATAATCCACACGTGTAGTAGGGAACATTCAGAAACAGCCTTTTTCTTCCTGTTTTCCCCCAAAGTACATCCCACAACAAGGGTTGATATGCAGGGATGTGGTCCCAGGGAGAAGGAGGGAAGGACAGGGGAACAGCTTGTCATTAAGAGGGGGACACTACAAAGGATCACCAGATGCTTGCTCTTTGGAACTCTGAAGAATCTTCTGGAGTAAGACTCAGAACTGTTCACCTGAGCAATGAAGGAGGACCACTGCCTCCCCCTCTCATGCCTCACAGGTCAGAAGGCCCCTCACAGGGCATTACCTCTTTGCATTTGTAGGTGGTAAGTGTGTGAGGTAGTTCCCAAGGGGCCCACAGCTCAGCAGCAGTGAGAAGAACTGAAACAGGTGTGGTGAGGGAAGAAGCTGGCAGTTCACTCCTGTGGCAAGTTGGTTGCAACCTGCAGGGACTTGCTTTCTATAGCAGTGGCTGTAGAAGGTGAGGCTGACAGGAGGGGAGGTGACGGACAAAAGGTGGCCCCCTCACAGGCAGAGGCCTAAGCAGTGTAGGGTGATCGGTTGGTGTTCAGACCACACTTCTCCATAGAGAGTATTACAAATAAGTGGTGGCTAGCTTTCCTGGTGGGCCAGCTCACAAACAAGCTGAAATCTGGATAAACTGATTGCACAGGGAAATGTAACAACATCAAGGATTTTAGTATGGAAGACAACAGAAAAACAATCACACTGAGTAAAATAATATTTTTAAAGTTCATCTTGAATGCTAGTGTTTGAAGAAAGCAGGTTTCCTTAGTGAAATAGAATGAGCTCATTAAAGACTACTGGAGATGGAAAGGGGCTTCTGGGGACTTCTGAGAGCTTCAGAAACAGCCCTAGAGTGTCATCACATTTACCTCCAAGGCAAATGCAGGCATGTCCCTTTCCTGGACGCATTTGGATTATCAACGCCACTTTTATGTCATTCACCCCTAATTTTGGTTAATATTTTTTTCCCAAATGGAAGGGAAAGAGGATTAGAAAGACAGAGATTTGTCTAATACAGAAACTCCAACGAGTTGCAAGAAAATGAGGAGGGAGAGGTTCAGAAAGTATGGATGGGCATATGAGAGGGAGAGTGTCCATGGGGAATTAACTAGTTCTAGATAATTGTTTACTGTATACTTTAAGACCCAAGGCCCCCAGTGGGAAGAGTGAGGGCTGGGAAGAGGTATGTGGTGTACATGGGCCCTCCTCTCAGAAGGAAGCAGGGAAGCAGTGGGGAGCCCTCTCTAGGAGCTGGTACTAGTGGGCGCTGTGGACCTGGGAGAGCTTGGCTGGTGCCTGCCAGATGGGTTAGCGGGACTTGGGATGCAGGGCAACTGCAGTAATCTTTCATGTGAATGGAAACATGTTTCTTAAGGTGATGGTGCGGGGCATGTGAATCCCAAAGGTTAACTTGAATTTTTTAAAATGTTATGCTGATATCGCAATGCAGCAGAGGAAACGCTTTGGGTGTTCCGTGAAGTCTGGATTCTATCTCTGAAATGTTCTCACAGGTAAAGATTTACATAAAATGCCCAGAGGAGGCTGTAATAGATTTTGATACATATTTCATATTTTCAAGCCTACCACTTGATCTCACAAACAGATTTATGAAAATGCAGTCTTTATTGTACAATAGTCATGTTTTATTAAATGTGATTACATAGCGAGGAAGGGAGAGCCGCTGTAGCAGCCTTGCTACGGAGCTGGAGAGGGACCAAGCTCTCAGAGGCCCAGGTGGGACCTCCCTCCTTGGGTTTATAACCTTGGGGTCATCCTGCCTTGGGGAAGTCCCTGTCTCTTCTGACTCTCACTCTGCAGGAAAAGAGCAGTACTAACTCCTTTTGAACCAAATAAGAGTATTAATAACACCTTCAGAGACAGAGGCCTCACTCTTATCTGAGGTAGAAAGGAGTCTGGTTCCTTATGCAGTCTGCGGAACTCAGCTTCTCTAAGGAACCACAGAGCCTGGAATTCCTCCTTCAGTCCACACTCCCAGCTCCCCAGCAAACCTTCCCTTCTTGGAAACCTGAGAGGGTTCGCTTCAAACACGGCTTTCTGGGCCTGGAATCAAATTGGCCTGGCTCCCCTCTGATCTCCCCAGTCTGTGAGCAGGGGGTCCAGGCAGCTGGAGTAACTCTACCCTACACAGCCCGGCTTCTTTTCTTTTCCTGGACAAGATTTATATGGCGGGTGTAGTCTTACCACAGACATTCCCAAGAGAGGCCCTGAACACCCCCAGCCCCCCAGCTCCCTGCAAGTTAACTTTAAGATGGGTTTTTAGATAAAGTTGGATTGATACTTAAGGAAAATTGAATTTCTGTGTGATTGAGAAGCCACTTTATACAACTTGAAGGATTGTGTGAACTCTTATGGCAGGGGTGGGGGGGTAGGTGGGTTGACGAGAGATGAAAGAACCCAACCTACAGCCTGCCATTTAAGATGCTTTGTCCTCCCCCTTGCGAAACACAAGCCTGGGCTCGGAGTCAGAAATGAGCCAGACTGGAGTCCTGGCTACCTCAGTTACTGGCTGTGTGACCTGGGGTAGGTGACATACCCGCCCTGTGTTTAGTTTCCTTACCCGGAAGATGAGGCGAATGATGTCACAAGGTTGTTGTAACATAATGAATGTTAAGCACAGTCCCTGGCAAAGAGAAAGATGTCAATAAATGCTAGTTCTTATTATGAAGTCATTAACTCGTTTAAGCTCCAGAGCCAATGGCTTTACTATTGTTTGATACAGGTTGTTTTTGACAAGTGGACAGTGTCACATACTGGTGATATGAGTCAGGAAACCAAGAAAGAGACCCCGCGGTTGTTACCAACCCCCCGCCTAATGCTAGAGTCCAAATGGGCCAGGTATTTGACTATGGTATTGGGGGTAGAAGAAGTGCTAAGTGATATAAAATAATCAATCACATTATGCACAAAGTGTACCCCTGCACCTGGGAACCAGAGACATTTTCCACAAGATGGCTATGGAGTCTGTGGGTGCAGACATACACTGTTTCCAAGACGGGACATAAGAACACGCACAGTCTATAGTGAATGCCCTTTTATTTACCTGGAGATGTCAGTTCCAGACAGCCTGGGCCTCGCTGCTGATCTGAATAGTAATCAGATTCACATGTCTCCCTGTCTTTACAAGAGCCCCAGACACTAATAGCATCCCCAGGGAGGGGCTGCAGTTTTCCAAGAGTCTGCCACGGATGTACAGTTGCCTTGCTTGTCCTCATAGGCAGCAGCCGGGGATAAAACGAATTTTTCAGTGTGGCTGGCAGTCTCATTTGGAAAAACAAAACAATAAACACTTGTTTCTGTTGGACATAGTGGAGTGATATTTGTATTTTTAAGCAATCACTCTATATTACTTTCCATGGAATCTCAATTTTATTTTGTTTGCTTTTAAAGTCACCCCAGAAAATGCCTGCCCTCTACTGATTTGTAGCTCAGTGCCCTCAGAGACTGTGACAACAGCCCTGTACCATACCCTAGGTCTCATAGACAAAGGGTCCTGCACTGGAGGAAACTCCACTGTGTACAAAAACCTGGAGAAAGGACCAGAGCTCTGGTAAGAATGGTTTTATTTTAATGTCCATGATATTAGATCTAGCCACTCTTCTATGCAGCATGTGTTTGCTGTGTGCATACCTAGTGGATTGGGCTCTGCCCTCAGGGCTTCCATTCAAGGCAAGAGTCTGGAAGCTTCAGCCTGAAGATCGTTTGAGCACTTCTTGCTGCCCAGGTCCTAGTGTTCAGGAGCCCCTGTTAACCCCTGCTCCCCAGCAGGTTGTGCTGTGGGTGCAACAGGGGAAGGGAGGTGGAGTGCCCAGGGAGGAGTTTGGAGGCCCTCTCCTCTGTGAAGCTGGGGCCTCCCTGTGGACTTCAGGCCTGTACCAGACCTGTCTCCCAGTCCCTGGAAGAAGACAGATAATTGCTGTGGGGACCTCTGGAGAGGTTTCCATTCCCACATCTAAATTTATTCCATCTGAGTTTTTTCGTTGCCTAAGTCTAATTGGTGCAGTCATTATGTCAGAGCAAATGTTATTATTTTAGTCAAAAGCAGTAAACTAGGAAAGACATTCTGTATGAGAGTTCTCTCTGTCCTGAGGTCAGGAGCCTGATGAAAGAGTCAACAAGACCTGATTGTGTACCATGCCCACCATACCAGACCTTCCAGGGCCCTCAAAGAACAAAAAGAAAACTGCCCCCAAAGAATCTTAAAGGAGGTGGTGAATCTACACATACATGGATGACATCTGCATAGATAGAAAAATAGCTCTGCCTCGCTTTACTGCTTGGGTTTGTTTATTCTGTCCTGCAGGGTTTTTCCCATATGGAGCGCCCAGCATGGTCACAGGGAGCAATGTGTGTGTGTGTTGAATGAATGAATGAAATATGCGGTGTCCATGTGTGTGGCTCTGTGCCATGCTTGTGCTTCACAACACAAATTAAACACTAGCCTCACCTTTTAGTGAGCTCGTGTCCTGACAGCCTGTCAGGTGTTGGATAACATGTACCAGTGATGGAAAAAATACAAAAAGGAATTCATGTTTATCCTTTCAGCCAGCAACATGCATATCAGATTGCAGAAGAATTAAAATGTCTGGGGGTAAAATTACAGGACAAAGTTTTATGAAGTCATCAAGGTAAATCCTATTTTGCAAAATTGCCTCAAAATTGTGAATGTTCTCATGGCCCTAATTCAGGATACATTCCTAAAACAAAGAACATCTTGGTTTGATTCCATTTGTTTTGAAGCCTGTATTCTACAGAATTATTTCTTCAGTATGGTATATAAATGTAAGAATTGTAAGTGGAAAAATTAGATCATTTTGCCAGATGTATAGCTTTTCAGTTGACAGTTATGGAAATGCTTTGGGTGTTCTGAAACATGGTTTCAGAGGGCGCTTCAGAGAGGGCTGAAACATGGCTAAATGCAACCAATATGCATTGAATCTAATTTAATATTTGGGACTGTATGCTTCAGGTATCAGCTCCCTGTCTTTTTGTTTTTATTAATAATTTGCCACTTAAGACTCAAATCTCTCCCTTAGGTGACACAATGCTGCCCTCAATGGAGAGACAGTTCTTGGAAGCCTTCCTAAGAAGTGAGGGAAATGTCATGGAAGGCCCATGGTCCTACTTTGGGTTGAAAACACATAACTCTACCTTTACTGTATTTTAAAGATTTATTTATTTGAGAGAGAGAGGGAGAGAGAGAGAAAGCGTGAGCAGGGGGAAGGGCTGAGGGAGAGGGAGAAAGAGAATATCAAGCAGACTCTCCACTGAGCACAGACCCCAATATGGGACTCTGTCCACAACCCTGAGATCATGGCCTGAGCCAAAATCAAGAGTGGGGCACTTAACAGACTGAGCCACCCAGGTGCCCAGCCTTTGCTGTATTTTAATGTGTAGCTTTATACCTGAAAACTGTCTAGGTTTCACTTAGCAGAAGTTTGAAATTGGGCTGTTGTATTTTAGTTTGCTAGGGCTGCCATAACAAAGTACCTTAAACTGGACTGCTCAAATGTGACACGTATTCTATCACAGTTCTAGAGGCTGGAAGTCTGAAATATAGATGTCTTCAGGGTTGTTACCTTCTGAGGTTATGGAGGGAAGGATCTACTCCAGGCCTCTACTTGGCTTGTAGGTGGTTGTCTCCATGCTCACATGACATTCTCCTTGTAATCTGTGTCTGTGTCCAAATTGCCCCCGCCTTTTTAAAATAGGGACATCATTCATATTGGATTAAGGCCCACTGTATTCTAATATGACTTCATCTTAAGTAATTATGTCAGTAAAGACTCTAATTCCAATTAAGGTCATGTTCTTAGGTGCTGGGGGCTTTACCATGAACGGGGAGGCACACTTCAACTTGTAAAGGCTATGAAGAGGTCTGCTGATGCTACATAATTTAAGTAACTGTGAAGGCCCCTACACTCACCTGCTCTTCCCCATGTCCTCTCCCTGCTTGTTCTCGAATCTTTCCCCATAGGTGTCTGAAATACTCTTAGAGACCTGTCCATTTGCATCTTGAAGATGACTTCATCTTCAGGGATCTCACTCAGATTGTAGTTATGCCCAGGAGAGGTAGAAAAAGTCGTGTGCATTTAACTCTTTAGCACACTTGCTCTCAAACTGTGTCCCTCAAACCTTCACTGCCAAATTCTGATCAGTGTGTGGATTTTTTTTTAAAGATTATATTTATTTATTTATTTGAGGGAGATAGAGTGAGCAAGAGAGGGAGAGAGCAGAAGCAGGGGGGGAGAGAAAGAGGGGGAGGGAGAAGAAGACTCTCCGCTGAGCAGGGAGCCCAATGTGGGGCTCAATCTCAGGACCTGGGATCATGACATGAGTGAAGGCAGATGCTTAACTGACTGAGCCAACCAGGCACGCCCAGTGTGTAGATTTTTATAAAAGTATGTGTTTGTTCTATCACCCTGCTGGCTCTCAAAAGGAGTATTGTGTTGGTGGGCCTGTGAGCAGTGGTGAGAGCCGGCATAATGTGCAGTGAGTAAAAGCTGAGAGGTGGGAGATAGGGTTAGGCACGTTCTACTTCCTCCGTGTAGATGGTGGGAGCTTGGAGTGTGGATGGTCCCACTCACACAGGGATGTGGGTCTAAAGCTGAAATGACCCGAGTTGCTCTTTTAGGTTCTGAGAAACATGTGACATAGTAGGAGTGATAGCTTTGTAATTACTGTAGAGGTTTCTAATTGATTTTTTGAATATCGATTAAGATTAACCTTCTAGTATGTGCAAAAGGACATCACAAACAGAGATATATGGAGAAAGCCTGCTTTTGGCATGTCCAGCTTTCCTAGTGGTTGGCTCACAAGTGTAAGACAGTGTTGTGGGGCCCAGGAAGGAATGGGAGATATGCCTGGAAAGAGCCAAAAATCAAAGACAGCAATATCAGAGCTAGGGGAACCAGGCGAATCTGGGTTTGAACAATGACCCAGTTTCTTTCTGGCTGGATGACTTTGGACATCTGACCTCCCTGACCAGCCGTGACCTCCTCATCCATTCAGTGCATGTTGTAATGCCTGCCTCATGGACTTGTGATGAGGGTCAGGCTGGCCCAGAATGTCCACAACGTCCACTACAGTGGCTCTGATGTCACTGACCACATCGTTCTCTCCAGGCCCAGCCCTGGTGGCAGTAAAAGCATAAGCTTTGCAAGGTTGTCACAGGTTCCCTCAATGCCTGTGTACTGTCCTTGCTACAAAAGCTGTTCTTACCTTGAAAGCGGGCCTGGAGCTGCCTGCTCCCAGGGCTTCTGACCTGCCATGGAGTTCTGCAGTTCCGCATGCATGACCAGGACCACACAGCTTCCTGAGCAACGGGGGGGCTATGGGCAGGAAGGGGAAATGAGAGTGGCCAAGGCTGTGCACACCTGGGCTGCATCAATGGCCACGTTGTGGAGTAGGCCCTCCAGGGTGGCCTGGAACGTGGGGCTCTGGAGCTGCGTGTCAGTCATCACCTCACTGGGCCTTGGTTTGTTTTACAAACTTCTGTTTGTGTGATTTACACCTCTAGTAACTCATCTTAACTGCCTTCCCTCCTAATGACTCAGTTCCCTTCTCCATTTATATTTTCTTTTTCTTAAAGTACGCGCGCGCGCACACGCACGCATATGTATGTGTGTATCTTTCTTAGTCTCTCCCGTTTTCTTTAGTCAGAATAGATGGGGAAGCAGAAGGCCTGGGATGAATGAGAGAAAGTACTGGAGTGGGAAAGGCTTTTTCTAGGTTATTTGAGAAAGCTCTGAGTTTAGCTAACTCAGAGGAGGGCTGTGAGCTCTCGTGGCACTGGTCCCAGCTGACACGAGCAGCATGCAGCCGCCATTGCTAGGAGGCATCATTTGCCCACCCTCCACTTACCTGTCTGCTGAGCCCCTTTCAAATAGACCTTAGAAGGCCCATCTGCAAGTTACAGATAAGGAAACAGACTTCAAGAGACTTAAAAATTAGATGTTCAAAGACCTACAACAAGTGCAATTCTTGATGTGGGGATCTAAATAAACCTGGTCACATAGACTTGTCCATATGGCTCCTTATTTAGTCATACTAGAAATTAGTGTCTTAAAGCCTCTATGAAGTGTCACGTCATATGCCCACGTTTACAAATGTCATGAATAAGTCTTGCAAACACTCATCCAATGGAAGTGTGTTTCAGAACTATCCTAAGATGGGCTTTACCTCTTTTTTTTTTTTCTGATTAAATCGTGCACATTTATGTAAAATTCCAAACTGTGCAAGAATGTACGTAATCTCACTTCGAGAGACACGCTGCCAAAAATTGGTGCAAAATTCTCCATCCTTTTTTTACACTGATATTAACTCTTGCTGTTGATTATTTTGGATATGAACTCATAGCATTAATGCAGTCCTGAGCTTGCAGTCCACATTAATACAAAAAAGTCTACTGCATTAAGTCATGTATAGTATTCCACTGTGTGGACATCCCAACATTTATTTAATCTTCAGAGTTCATCTGGGTTAATTATATGTTTATAATACTTTTAAGTTTTTAAAAAAAATTTTTTAAAGATTTTATCTATTTGACACAGAGAGATCACAAGTAGTCAGACAGATAGACAGAGAGAAAGGGGAAAGCAGGCTCCCTGCTGAGTAGAGAGCCTGATGCAGGGCTCGATCCCAGGACCGTGAGACCATAACCTGAGCTGAAGGCAGAGGCTTAACCCACTGAGCCACCCAGGTGCCCCAATACTTTTAAGTTTTTAAACAAAGCCACAAGGAACAAAGCTTCAGTCTTCGAGCACTTATAGAGGGTTTTGGAGGCATAAATCTTAAAAGGACAAAAACAGGTTGAAAAGGTATCAACTTTTAACATTTCAGTAGATACTGCTAAGTCACAAAAATGTGTATGGATTTATACTTGTACACTTGTACCACCAAAGGACCCAGAGCACCCATTTATTTCCTACCCCCTCACCATTGCTGAACTTCTTCAGCCCATATTTAGCTGTGCCAATCTGATAAATGAAATGATAGGTCATTGTAGTTTAATTTGCATATCTTGACTATCTCCTCAGGAAAACTGTGGCTGGGGCTTAGTGGGCAAGGGGTGATTTCTTCCTCCTGGACAGTACCTGCTTCTTGACTCTTTTCTTGTCCCTTAACATGTATGTGAACATTGGAAACATATACAGGAAGTGCCTGTGAATTTTTTTTCAGATTGCTCTTTATTTTTTATTAATCTATAATGTATTATTTGTTTCAGGGGCACAGGTCTATAATTTATCAGTTTTACACAATTGCCTATGAGTTTTTAATAGAAGCCTCAGCAATAAAGCCTCAAATTTTAATAGAAGCCTAATCAGAAAGGCAAATCTGATTCAAATTCATACCCTACAGCCTTGTTCACCTCTAGAATTTTGATGGATTCCTGCCTTACAGTGAGGCCTTTCATCCATTTTGAGTTTATCTTTGTGTATGGTGTAAGAGAATGGTTCAGGTTCATTCTTATGCATGTGGCTGTCCAATTTCTCCCATTTATTGAAGAGACTGTCTTTTTTCCACTGGATATTCTTTCCTGCTTTGTTGAAGACTAGTTGACCATAGAGTTGAGGATCCATATCTGGGCTCTGTATTCTGTTCTGTTTATCTATGTGTCTGTTTTTATGCCAATTCCATGCTGTCTTGACGATCACAACTTTGTAATGTAGCTTGAAGTCAGGCATCGTGATGCCCCCAGCTTTGATTTTCTTTTTCAATATTCCCCTGGCAAATTGGGATCTTTTCTGATTCCATACAAGTTTTAGGATTGTTTGTTCTAGCTCTGTGAAAAATGTCAATGGTATTTTGATAGGGATTGCATTGAATGTATAGATTGCTCTGGGCAGTATAGGCATTTTAACAATGTTTATTCTTTCAATTCATGAGCATGGAATGTTTTTCCATCTCTTTATGTCTTCCTCAATTTCTTTCATAAGTGTTCTGTAGTTTTTAGGGTACGGATCCTTTACCTCTTGGGTTAGGTTTATTTCTAAGTATCTTCTGGTGTTTGGTGTTATAGTAAATGGAATCGTTTCCTTAATTCCTCTTTCTTCAGTCACATTGCTAGTGTACAGAGATGCAACTGATTTCTGGGCATTGATTTTGTATCCTGCCATTGCTGAATTGCTGTAGAGTTCTAGGAATTTGGGAGTAGAGTCTTTCGGGTTTTCCGCATGAACTCTCATGTCATCTGCAAAAGAAAAAGAGTTTGACATCTTCTTTGCCACTTTGAATGCTTTTTATCTTTTTGTTGTCTGATTGCTGAGGGCTTCTAATACTATGTTGAACAATAATGGTGAGAATGGGCATCCCTGTCATGTTCCTGACTTTTCCCCCATTGAGAATGATATTCACTGTGGGTTTTTCATACGTTGCTTTTATGGTATTGAGGTATGTTCTCTCTATCCCTATACTTTGAAGATTTTTAATCAGTAGAGGATGCTGTCTTTTGTCAAATGCATTTTCGGTATCAGTTGAGAGGATCATGTGGTTCTTAGCTTTTTTTTAAATTAATGTGTTCTATCACGTTGATTGATTTCCAAATGTTGAACCACCCTTGCATGCCAGGAATAATATGTGCAATGGAATCTTACTCAGCCATCAAAAGGATGAATACCTACCATTTGCATCGACATGGATGGAACTGGAGGGGATTATGCAAAGTGAAATAAGTCAAGCAGAGAAAGACAATTATCATAGAGTTTCACTCATATGTAGAACATAAGGAATAGCATTAGAACCACAGGGGAAGGGAGGGAAAACTGAATGGGAAGAAATCAGAGAGAGAAAGATAAACCATGAGAGACTCTGGACTCCGGAAAACAAACTGACAGTTACGGAAGGGAGGGGGGTGGGGGGTGAGGTAACCAGGTGATGGGTATTAAGGAGGGCACATGTTGTGATGAGCACTGGGTATTATATGCAACTAATGAATCATTGAACACTACATCAAAAACTAATGATGGTACTATATGTTGGCTAACTGAACATAATAAAAAACAAAAAATAAAAACACAAATTCGTCCTTACAGTCCAAAGCAGAGATTAAGTGACTCTCAGACTAGAGGTACCACGTGTTGCTTCTGTTAGCCCAGCTAAGAAATAGGAAACCATCTTTATAGCTCATCACTGAGACCCTTTCTGGTGGTGCCTTGACGCAAATGTGAGTGACAGTAGAAGGGATGGGAGCACTAAAGATGGTTCTGTTTCATACAAAGGTGTCTTTTCTCCAGCCATTCAGGCGGCCATTCAAATAACCATTCAGAATGTGATGTCCCATATCAAGTCAGACTGGTGGGGGGAGGAGCATAGCCATAGAGACTCAGCCCCGCTAGACTGCTGCCACGTGACCTTTCCAGTCTCTTTCCCACCTCTGACCTGTGGAATGACTTCTCAGCTCAGCACAGGCATGTGCTCGCTCATTGTTTCCTTTGACAGCTGTGGGTCTTACCTCCCTGAGACAACTAAAATTCTTGAGGGCAGAGCCAGCTCCTATCTTCATTCAGCACCTACCCAACCCCAGCACACCTCACCTATTGTGTGTGCCAGTGGTGAAGAGAAGTTGTGGGGTGGATGAGTTCTAATTCTACTTTGGATCTGAGGGCTCTGATGTACACGGGGTCCCACTCTGTCCAGATTCTCCAGACAGTTTGACCTGCCTTTCCTCTCACTGGCTCTAATTTAACCTCATTTAATGAGGCCTGGAAATGAGCCACTTCCAGAAATGGCAAGAAACCTGACTGGTCCACATGGCCACAAGACCACCCCCAAAGCCAGCTTGGACCTCTGCCCCCAAGTGAAATTTTTATAAGACACATTCTGTGTTTCTCGTCTCAGACACATATTCCTGAAATTAGCATGTCACCACCCTCGTTGGGGTCACTGCCTGATGGAAGACAAAACTGTATATACTCATGTACCTGCAACTATATCTGATTTTTTAAAAAAGAAAAATGTTCACATTTGTATCACCACATATATTTCTTTAATTTCTGAAGATTAGTTTTTAAGTTCCATGTTGCTTTCATAGTACATGGCCTAAGCATAATTAAACCTACTTTAGCTAAGATTCACACTTGAAAGGTGTGAATAACATAACTCATTCAATCCCACTTATAAAAAGAGGAAACATATGCAAAGCTCATTAGAGTTTCTCAGGCATTCTTTCAGGAATTAATTGCCAGATTTTATACCCCATTAGAACCGTTCCAACTCTCTTTAGAAGCCATTCCTAAAATGAGGACTTTATTAACATTTTTGAGCACACTTGCTCTATGACACCTTCTAAGAAAGGAAAAATTTCTCTCCTTAAATTTTCATGCCTACAGAA